GGCTATTGGAGGTCTATGGGAAGGAAATACCAGAAGCGAATATTGAAATCATTGAGGACAAGAAAAAGAAGGGAGGCAGTTAGCCAATGATAAACTATCGTTGGTTGACAGCATAGACGCATAATGTACAAGTTCAGTGTTGCATATTGGGTATCATGTCAATAGTATAAAAGTCTCGATAGGTTTGTTCGAGGAATTCAAGGCTGGCCTTGACAAGAAAGGTGTATACCGTTGAACTCTAGGACTCCAGAAATATCGCCTGTCAGAGTTCGTCGAACATTCTCAATGGATCTTGCTCAGTAGCCCTCGCATTCTCGGGATTAGTATACGTCGTGGTTGCCGTGTCAGTAGAGTAGCGGGCATCGTGACGAGAGATCAGCTTTGATGGATATTGAGGCAGCACATATGTATCTCTGGGGATATCTGTGGCCAGCCAATGCATCCCACTTTCTTGGTTGTGCACAAGGGCTCCAGTAGAGCCGTTTGTCACGGTCACTGCTTGCGAAGTCATGTCAGACTCTGGCGACTCCAGGATAATCCAGTTCTGGACAACAAGGGCTACGGCGAGAGTGAGAATTCCTGCTGTAACCAAGCCCCAAAATATACGGAGGCGGCGACTAATTCGTATTTGGCACTCTGCCTCTTTTCTCTCCCAGCGGTCAATTTCTTTCCGCATCTCTTCAAGCCTACAGCTAAGCGCTTCGGCTCTCATTCTTCCCGCTTTCATACGTTCTTCCAGGGCCTCGATCTTCTGCATCTGCGGCTGAAAGTCTTTAAGCTCCCCGATCTGCTTTCGAATGTCATGATCCAGATTAGTGGTCTCTCGTCCAAAGTCCGTGAAGAGTGTCGATGTCGAATCAGAGAGTTCTTGGAAAGAAGCGATCGTGACGTGGAGAGCGGCGAGCTTCTCCAACAGATTATAGTAAGTATAGTCGAGCCTGCGGGTGATATCTGTTGCAAGTGTGCCAATTATTGATAAAGCAGATCGTAAGTAGCTGCCAGTGAGCCCGTTAGATCAACTGCAAGGAACAGGGCATAATATTACATACCGCTCCCCTTGTTTCCTTTTATCTCTTACTTGCTCCAAATCGTCTAGCGAGCGTATCTCCTGTCGTCTGATCAAACCCAGGTGATTGTTCCGGTCAATTTCATCGAATATACTGCCTTTCCTACTACCAGTGCCCAGGCCCGTGGTGGATTCAGATCCCCAGCGCGACCGAGTTGTCTCCCTCGTTACAGGTCTAAGTAACGCAAGTCCATCGTCGGGATCGCTTTCTTTCTCGCGACCACCAGACCAAGGGGACAGTAAGCCCCTGGCGCTAGTGGAGGAGGCGATGGGGTTCATTATTCGTGGGAGCCGCCCGTCACGAGATTTGCTATGCTTATGCTTATGACGTGGCCTGAATTTGGTAGGATCTAGGCTGGCAGGGTCAAAGGCCAAATGGCGGTGGTGTTTTTCTCGAGGCGCCCCTGAAACGTTTTCGGGATCGGTACAGGCATGATGAGTTTTTAGAACCGGCGGTTCTCGGCTGCTGTTCCAAGCAACATAATCGCCGTCTCTGGGGGCTTCAAACGGTCCATCGGCGTTGGACGGGACCTGAGTGGGAGGTTTGTGGTTTCCGGCGGTGCAGGAGCCATGGGTAGTGAAAGGGTGGGAAGCGGAGAGCTGCCTGGATGGCGACAACAACGCGGGCAAAGAGTTTCTCAGTGAAGACTCCATTTATTTTCTGTCACCACCACTCCTCTTTCTTTAGCCAGAACGTGAAGACAGTACGGAGGGTGGGAAGCTATACCTGCATGTATCGCCCACAATTTCACTATGTGATTATGCGAAACACGATGCCAAGACTGATCGACGCCTGCATTCAGCTGGTATCTTAATATCTCTTAAATTCCGAAAGTGATCAACAGGCTTCAATTATACTAGTTCAATGGCTACACACAGACACATCTATAGGAAGTAAAGAACACAACTCGGACCACCTACGTTTAGTCCCGCCCAACTGTACATCTAGAACTGAACGAAACTAGTCAGTGAAACAACAAATATCCTAATGTTATGGATATATACATTCACACATATATAGAGTCATGGGCACACATATACATACATGGACCATACGCCCAACTCCTTGTATCACCGTCCAACCACTAACTTGCACCGTAAGCATGATCTTTGTATTGCCTGAGGATCAGATTTAAGAACGCGGCCAAAAAATAAAAAAAAAAAAAAAAAATATAAAAAAGCGAATTACCCGCCATACACGCCGAACAAATCATAAACGAGACGGTGATGATAGGAGTAGAATGATAATGGACCATAATAGTAGAGGTGGGAAAAGAAAAAGAAAAAGAAACCAAGACGACTTTTTCCACCACAATTACGAGTTGAGCAATTTATTGCGCTTTTCCTTACGCTTCAATCGTTCGACACGTTTGCGATGCATCTTCGCCGCCATCTTCTCGTAACGTTCCTTCTCCTCCTTCGCAGCCCTACGCTCCTTGATTCTCTGGATATGCGCCTGTGCAAGGATGTCAGTAAGCTCGCACATAAAGTTCCCAATGCTCAATGATATTCGTTCTGCATACCTTCCGTTCCGCCTCCTTCTCTTCTTTGAGTTCCCGTTCGTGTTCTTTGACAGCTTCCTGGTGCTTGCGAGCCTCCAGTCTCTTTTCGTACGAGGTCAGACCAGCGGTAGGACGGAACGGCTTTTTGGTATCGTGCCAGTTTTTTCCTGCGGGTCCAAGGCAGGAAAAATTAGCAGGGCAGGGTGGGATAAGTGGGGAGCCAGAATCTATTACATACCGTTTTTACGCATGCCCTTCGTGGGATCAGCCGGAGTGGCCGATACCGTGGATGACATGACCAGCAGAAAATGAAAATGGTAGATCAAGTGGAATGGCGCAAAGAGGCGGAACTCGGAAAGTGAGAGATGAGAAGCGGTTGATATATTATGGTTTTCCTCGGTGGAGGGACTGGCCGCTTTGCGGCCTTCAAAATTTGAGGAAAAAGTTATCTTAGGCCGATCAGATAAACGGATCTCGGCGGAAGTCTTCACCCGATGCCCACTTTGACATCTGCAATGAGGGATTTGCCAGCCACGATTCTTACCCGGTCGCTGTTCTAGTTGAAATTATCACCACTACTGCTGCAGAAGCTCCCCACTGTTCCCAAAATCCCGCGTCTTGGCTTCACTTTCCATCTGCAGGCGATGCCCACTTGCTGATTTTATCGCGCGTGGGTTCGGGCTGACTTAGAAACCCCTCGTTGATTACCATACTTACACCGCCCCCTCCTTCAGGCTCCTCCGAAATCTTACCTTAAATACTCTTTCCCTCCGATTCTACAAGGAACCATACAATGCCCTACCGATAGAGTCTCACCTCTCTCGCTCTCATCTCTCCCCTTCTTTCTCCCTTCTTTCTTGGTTGGATCAGGCGTAAATTCCCTCCTTACTCCCATGGCGGCTGCAGAACATGCGATCACACTCAAGAATGATATGTCAATGGAGCTCCCTACACTTCCACCCAATCAGGGGGTTGAGGCATTTAAGGATATCATGTTCGGGTCCGTAAGTAATCCTGCTTACCGCACTCAGGAGAGCGCTGCCTGTGTTAACTATTCGCCCAAAGACAGCAGGAATGGCTGGAAAAGTCATTGAGTACCCTTTCGATACGGTGAAGGTGCGGCTACAGTCTCAACCTGACCATTTACCTCTTCGATACAAGGGGCCAATAGACTGCTTTCGGCAGTCATTCCAGGCCGATGGCTTTAGAGGATTATATCGCGGCCTCAGCGCTCCTATGGCTGGTGCTGCCATAGAGAATAGCTGCCTGTTCTGGAGCTATCGCATGATCCAAGATGTCCTAAAGTCAACATGTTACTCTTCGACGGACCCATTGCCCTTCTCAGCCTTACTGGTCAGTGGTGCTGCATCTGGGTCCATCACTTCGCTTGCTCTCACTCCCATTGAACTCATCAAGTGCAAAATGCAAGTACCTCTAGAAGGTTCCAGTGTAAGAGCTAGTCCACTCGCTTTGGTCGCCTCTATATTCCGCCAAGATGGCATCCTGGGATTTTGGCGAGGGCAGCTGGGCACTCTCATTCGAGAGACGGGTGGGGGTGCCGCCTGGTTTGGGGGCTACGAGGGAGTCTCAGCGCTTTTCCGGGCATATCCCACATCCGCTTCGAAAGGTGGTTCAGAGCATCAATCGGTTTCTCTCCCGCTTTATCAACAAATGATTGCTGGAGCAGCAGCTGGTATAAGCTACAATTTTCTTTTTTATCCGGCAGATACAATTAAATCCCGCATGCAAACAGAAGATATAACTCATGGCTCAATTAATGGCCGACGACAAACTTTCTGGGGCGCCGGCAAAGCTCTATGGAAACAACAAGGACTCAAGGCCTTGTACCGAGGCTGTGGGATAACTTGCGCACGATCAGCACCCAGTTCAGCCTTCATTTTTACAGTGTACGAAGGACTACGGAGTTATTTTGGATAATCTGCTCTACATTAGACGCTCTTTTCTCTGCTTTTATATTGGATGATACCTCTGACCATGTTTCCTTTTTTATTTATTTATTTTATTTTTCTTGTTTGGGGGGTTTTCTTGCCACTAGAGTATTTTTGTTGTTTGTTTTCTTAAGACACAAAAAAACCCCCAATTGCATCATTGTTGCTTCCAAGAGAACTCATCGGGCGTTGGCATGAGAAACAAAAATGCCTTTTTTCTGTTCATAGAGTTTTTCCTCTTTCTTGTGCTTTCATGAACCTGAGTCCTAGATGTTATGTATAGCTATCTCACATCTTTGTATATAAGAGACGAAAACAATGGGCCGACTAATGAACATTTTTATGCATTGAAGCGTGCACCGAGACCTGATGCTCTTAATCGAGGGAATTCCCTCGATTGCCTACATAGTCCCATGGTTTTGGCCCATCTCATATCTACACATCACAAACGAAGATACATACCAGCATAATCGCAAGTGGGGTATGCATCGTACTAGCTGCAAGCCAAACGACATAAAACATCCTGATAGCGGAGCTTCTTTCCACGGCCGAACTCATACCCCTCCCCTCTTCTATAACTTTACGCTATTTATTTACTTGTCGCCTCCCACTCCCACTGAGACAATTGAAATACCCCAGGCTCTAATAAACATGTCTTCTTCTAAATCCACTCTTACTGCCCAGGAACTGCAGGCCCTTGCCTCCAAGGCGATCGCTGCTAAAGCTACGGCCTACTGTAAGTCAGTCACATAAGAGGTCCACCGCTCCATGCGCTCTCCGATTTCTAAGTGTATCTAAAGGTCCGTATTCTAAATTCCGCGTTGGAGCATGTATTCTCACCCAGTCTGGTGAATACATCACCGGTGCCAATGTCGAAAACGCATCCTATCCTGTTGGCACATGTGCAGAACGAGTGGCCTTTGGGACTGCTGTCGTAAGTTGTGAACTCCGCCGGCTTTCCTTGCGAATTGTACGGGGCTTCCCCATTCACTCAAGATGATCTTTGCAGGTCGCCGGATATCATGACTTCAAAGCTATTGCTATCGCTACCGATAGTAACCCTCCAGCGTCCCCGTGCGGCATGTGCAGACAGTTGTAAGTTTGAACCCTCCCTCGCCTTGTTCTTGCTTGCTTCGTTTCTCTGTCTTTGGCGGATTGGCATGATGAGGGGGCTCGCACCATGGCCCTCTCGAGTACTTTATTGATGCTTCATTGCTAGCAAAATTTACAGCGCTGACGATAAATGTATAGCATGAACGAATTCACAACTCCCTCTTTTCCCATTTACATGTATGGCTCGGAAGGAACCTACACTATCAAGACAATGCGTGAGGTGTGTAACCGCTTTATTAGATAGTTCCTATTGTGTTGTCTTACTCATTTTTCATACCTCAACGCTCACTGGAAACGTGATTAAATCCATTGGTACTGACTCATGCTCCTCCTGCAGCTTCTCCCCGACTCATTCGGACCAGAAGATTTCTCAAAGGAAAGGGTGCAGTCATCGTAGTTCTGGTGACTCATCTCCCTCCATGTTTTTTGGGCTTCCACCGAAGGCTACTTTTTCTGTTGCCTCCAAGATGTTTGCGTACAAGGAAACCGTGATGGCGAATGTTTGCCACTATTGTTAAGGGATGGATACATTATGCGTGGGCCTACATAATGGCTACATGACATCGTATAAAGCTTTAGGTCAAATTATTATGGTCGACCAAGAAGCTTTTTCCTTCTTAAGGAAGCTGTGCTTGGAGTGATAAAATGTTTGACTACTTAGCTGATACAATCAAAAGAACTGTGGAGCCTCCGAGTGGGATCATATTTTCCTTCTGCTCCCAGATGTCATTTTCCAGGAGACACCTGGTAGGCTATTGGGAAACCCAAGATCGCTCAAGACCGTTAAGTCGGATGAACCAGGTTGCCTCTTATTCTGTAGGTTTGTCATCCGTCCAGGAAATAACACTAAAGGAAAGTGCAAAAGGTGAAACGGGGAAACAGGGGAAGAAGGGGCAATCTGCTTTAGAGCAGGGTTGATTTGAATCGTGGATACAGTGGATCCCACAACAGCACACTATAAATTCATAACACAGTATACAAGGCATACTACTTCCATAATATAACATAAATCGTAGAATCACCTTGGAGTTGACCGAAAGCATCGAGATGTGAAGGGCGCGATCAAGCCTCGTCATCTTCATCCAATTCGGCGTCTTCTACGCCGAGAAGCTCATCCTCATCGTCGACAACGCTAGTATAATCACCTCGGCGCGCTGCAAACGAACCGCGAGATGCGTAGGGCCTTGAATAACCCCTGCCTCGTCCAAGGCGAATAAATCCACTGGCACTCCGCCACAAACTTGTAACTAAAAGCGGAAGAGCGCTGGCAACGGCCACGATGCCTGCCACAATCGCAATTGGCACCGTGACAAACAATGAGTCTCGCGACAGGAAGCTTCGCGAAGTGCCGGCATCTTCGCCAAGGCGAATTTGCCCAAACTTGCCATCCCACCTGCTATAGGCATAGTAACCAGCAGCTCCTGCCGCAGCAAGAGGGGTCACGATGGCAAAGAACAGACCCACGCCACTTATGCCGTGCTTTTGCTTATACTCCTCCTCCTTGTTAGGGCAGGGTTTGGAGACAAAATGGTCCAGGTTTAGACCGCCCTGGCATGTTGTTTGTGGAATGCGGCGGTATCCGGTTGGCTCCCAATACTCGATTGTGTCAGGATCCTTTTTACAGACTTCCACGGCATCCGGCTTAGGAAGTCCGGGAACAAGAGCACAGCTACCATCGCTCTGAGGTTCATAGTTGTAATCACTGGCCAACGTTAGTCTTCGCATATTATCACCGAATACGGGGAGGAATAAATGAAATAATTACCATTCATAATCAGCTCTCGTGCATGTACAGTTCGTTCCTATGCTGTGGACGTGGGATTCTCGCCAATCGTTCCAACATTGGGCTGACGGCTTTTTGCGATGATATTGTTCACTGTGACCAAACAGGCAATTATTCTCCTGGAAAGGGTGTTTCGGCTCCCAAATATAATAATCATCATTATCGCCTTGGTGTTCATCCAACAAGCATGGTCTCGGGCGAATTCCGCTGAAGTCAATGTTGAACGTGGCGAACTTATCTTGAACTTCAGAATTCGATACTCTAGCCCAAAGAAGGAAGTTCTTAGAGGTATCGGATGGCAAGGTTGAGATATCGTTGATCCGCACTTCTACATCCGAAAATTGAAATTCTTCCCAGGTATCGCCCTCATCGAGGCTGTAGTGTATAGTTTTAGTGGCTTGGACTCGGGCACAATAACAATGACCGAGCCGGAGTCGCCGTATTCCCACATGTATTTTCCCTTCTTGACGGACTTCCAGCTGATTCCACCATCGACTGTGATGAACGTATCCGCTTCATCACCACCGGCTAGATGGTCACCCACATTACCCACGGCCATCATCAGACCAATTGCTGACCCGGAAGCAAAAGTATCCCGTTCGTCTTTGCGCTCTGTATAGCCATGAAGATGAAGTGAACAGTCATCTGTGCCTTTACCTGTTTCGACCGAACAGCCAAAGCTCTTGCCATCCGCGTCCTTGGCTGGAGGGGGAAGTAACATCCATTGCGCTCCATCATTATGAGTGATCATAGTCTTGAGCTTTTTTGGCGCTTTTTTCGAGACTTCAGCCACGTTGCTGACAACATTTACAACAGCCACCCCCTCTAAGCCCTGCATTTTCTCAAAATCGACATAACCCAGACTGTTTCGGTTAACTGCATCGATGCTAAGAACGTACGATGTTCCATTGCTATTACTCTTGATAATAGGGCCATACTCGGCCCCTTCTGTGCTGCTCGCCGTCACATGCAGGAAAACAGCGTGCGTTGAGCTTTCGAGAACGGTATAGGCGGTTTGAACAGGCACTTGAACGTTTGGCGGGAACTGTGCTGTTGCAAAAGTCCTGCCGTCGACGCTCGTACTAGCTACCAATGAATCGGGGTTCTCTGGCTGCCGCGATGCTACAATGATGAACTCCGACATTGTAGCGTAGTTTATGACATCGACGAATTTGACCTCATTGTCATTGAAAAATTCATCGCTTGACAACAGTTGCAGTCGACCATTCTTGCTCTGCTTTTCAAATCGCTCGCAGTATATAAGGTTTGAACTGTTTGGCCGGGTTTCTCGACTTTCGAACTCGCATTTCTGAACATAGCTCAGTAAAGCTTCCCAGTTCTTACCATGCCCTTTCTTTATAAAAGCGTCAGAATGGCAGTCACCGGAGTGGCAACCCACAGCGCCGGTCCAGATTAACCGATCTTTGTGCACTGGGTGGAACGCCATAGTTTGAAGGAAGCGATCTTGAGTGGGTGGAGCCGGAGCCTGAAATGGTTTGAAAGTATGGCCACGATCTTCAGTCCAAAAGCCCTCTTTGCCATCGGTAAGAAGGAAGGCCACGTCGCTGCTATAAGGGTGTAGATAGACTCTGGCAATCTTTTCTCCCTTAAGCGGTCTTTCCCATGTCTTGCCATGATCATGCGTCACATAGACTTCCTGCTCACTGTTTAACATTATGATGGTTTCGTCACTGCCGGAGCTACTGGACTGGCGTTCTAAGTAGTAGTACTGCGCGTAGTCTCTTGCCTCAAACAACTGTAAAGTTACCCCAATTTTGCCGTCGTTTGATGGACCACCTGCGTCCTTGCAAGATCTTTCGATTTCCTTGTCTAAATTTTCGCCACCATCTCGGATGCAAGCATTTCCTGGGATGAGCCTCCAGCCCGATGGGCCCATGAATTTATCATCGGGTGTTTTGCATTCGCCTTCCGGGGGGCTGAGTGGGGAGGGAGGGACACATCCTTTCCCATCTTCGGTGCGCCTGTATTCACACTCGAAGTCCTCTGCTGTGCACTTGCATGCTTCAAAGATCGGCTCAGGGTCCTTGAATTCCTCATCCACAAAGCAGTTTGCGTTGGCTCTTCTGCGCCTGTAAAATTGTTTATGACCCATCAAGCAATCGGGCTCGCCATCTTCGCCCAGCCTAGCCGGCCATTTCTCAAAGTCTTCCTCGTCGCATTTCCTCTCATGGAGGCCATCGAAGTCGATTGAGTATATGACATATTCACCATCTTTATCTTCCTTTAAGGAGCCAACAACAATAAATTTCAAACTTGTGGAATCGGGTGTGGTGGTAACCATTGTGGGGTAAATCTTATGTTGGAGCTCGACAGACGCCCATTCTTTGCCATGATCAAGGGAGTAGTTGATCTTGTCCACTTTACCCTCATCACGCACCGCTATAACAACAGCGCCCTGGTCCCCAAACTCATACTTGTGGGGATGCTTAATAGCACGCCGCCATGTCACCCCAGCGTCATCAGATATATAAAGATTGCATTCAGCGTAATCTTGGAGATGATTGCCTGTGTTTCCTATTCCCATCACTAGCCCCGGTGCTGGGCTTGAGAACACCCGCCCTATATTTGTAAGCGCAGTTACAGAATGAAGATGCAGGTTTTCCCCGTCTGCCTTCAAGGGCTGAAAAGTCCTGCCGTCATCAAAGCTAATTCTGCTGATAATCTTCTTTTTGGCGGAGCCAGATTCGACTTCCTTTGGATTCTGTACCGTGTTGACTAGCACAATCCCTTGGATACCAGCAATTTTCTCAAAGTCGACCATTCCTTCCGAGTTACGATTAGTGTGTTCAATATTGCGGGTGAAATAGGTGCCATTTGAGTTTGAAGTAAAAAGCACGCCCATGCCACTTCTTGGACTAGTCAGAACATCCACCTGAAGGCTGTAATTTGTACTCTCTAGCATCGTGTACGCATCCTCCTCTATTCGATGGCCATCGAACTCTGCGCGGTGCCAGGTCTTAGCATCAACCGACACGTACAAGGCGAGTTCCTCGGTCCCTTTAGATTTGGCCGCCGCTACGATGAATTTCTTAACTGCAGCGGTGCTAATGACCCCTGACACAGGTCGTCCTTCTCGGAGCTTGGTCTCCGTGCCTTCAGCGTTGCTCCTGAAGTAGTCATCAGAGTATACAAGACGATTAGCGTGTGGAAGCGGCACTTTCAAACCTGAGACGACACAGAGCGAACGGTCCTTGATCTCATCGGCCAGGTTCAGATCTTCAGCAAATTGCGGGTGACCCACAGCCCAAGCACATCCACCAGTGCTCTCACGCAGCAGTTTCACCGTAGCGAAGTCGTCTGTCGTGTAGTATGACCGTACAATGCAATAGCGGCCTGCGCATTCCTCGCCCTGGAATATGACTTTGCTGGAGTCCCCGCCATGGAACACTAGGGGGTAGTGCCTTATCGCCGGAAACTCGGCAATATTGAATGATTCCCATGTTTTCGCTTGATCCGTTGTAACCCAGTGGCGGCCACTGGGCCCCAAGGCGTAGGCCTTTTTATTGTCATACGGGTGCTGTCTGATCAAAAGAACATGATGTTTCATGCCACCATCGCTGCCCTCGACAACTGACCAAGTTTCACCTGCATCGACTGACCTAAGCAGATCGCCATTGACCGTGTTCATGAGAACAATGTCAGTGTCCTCGAAGTAGAAGAGGGAGCTCGGCTTATGAGCGATCTTAGTTGGGGGTGCAATTTTTGGCAGACTCGGCTTTGCAGCACCGCGCTGTGCAATGAGTGCCAATAGCAGGCAGCTCACTAGCAATAGCCATCGAGATATCATGACCGCGAGTCTTGAAACATTTGAAAAAACACGCACAAAGGTTATGCTTCGGTGAAGAGCTGGTACTCCGATGACGTTTGGATGATGCGGGAGGGAGGAAGAATCGAGTGGTCGAGCTCGAATACGCACTATCTGATTTGTGCTGGATTAAACGGTGGCGAGTGGGTAAAAGTTCGGGGCCGCAACGCGAATGGCTTCAAACTAAGAATGTAATGCGTGGTCGACAGCTGCGTGGCCTCAGAGGAGCTGCATGGTCACGTGTAAAGATTGCTTATCGAAGCATTCGCTTTTTATCTTTGTTCCCTGCTTCATCACTGTCCAGGATCAATGCATGATACGTATTGAGCTTATAATAGGAATCCCAACTACGGATCGAAAATCTGTGCAATCCTAGAAAACAGTTTGTTGTATGTTCTGAAGTTACTGGTGGCTACTGAGGATTTGTAGAGTTCTTAAGTATGGAAGGTACAATACTATATCTTATTTCCGATGGCGCTACCAAAACCTATTCATGTATGTGCACGCAATACTAAGGGACACCACTGGGTGATCACAAGTTCAAAGAATCATTAATCATTGAGTATAGAAGATGGTATTAAGGGCGAAAGCTCAGTATTTCTGTTTCCGAAACTTACGCCACATTTTCCTCATCAAGCCTTGTTCGTCCTCACTAGATCCCCATAAGTGGGAAGCGCTATCCTCCAGTGGCAGCTTCAGTGGGTCCACCTTGGGTGGTGGCACGGTCGTCCGAAGGTCGGGTCTCGTTAGCGTCATCTTCAGAGTCATTTCGCGGTCACTACCTGGATACTGCTTGTTTCCAGACCTTGGTGGTAACAGCCATGGCTGGTGTCTTGGATCTAGGCATTCAAGGGGTGATGAGCGAGAGCTTTGCATGACATATGATAATTGAGATACGTGCATTCGCTTCTCGCACTGTTCGTCTGGAACTGACGTGTCCTCGTCGTCGAGGAACGTGCCGATAAATGTTTGAGGCATCGTTTCAATCTCAGCTGGTGCCCGCTCGACTGGCATGATTCTCTCATTGTTTAGAGCCGGGAAACCAAACTCAACAGCTTCATCAAAGTTTTGCGGTGAGGCCAGGTAGAGCCGCAGTTTTAGGCGGGCCTCAGGGTCCTGATAATATTGCGCCGATGGATCGATACTGGATGTGGAACATCGAGGTATATGGGCTTGACTTTGGCTCGATGAGGGTCGAGAACTTGAATTACGAGCCGTGATATTCATCGGCGCTGTCGGAAACGTCGACGACCGTCGCAAGGGTTGCGCTTTTTGACGCGACACTGCCGATGTCGGTTTGCGACTTGAAACGCCTGGATTAAACGATACTGCCGTTCGAAAAGAAAGCCGCCTTTGGGGCGGCAAGTTCGACATCGACTTGGCAACATGCGCGTGGTACTCGTCCAGCCTTAGGTCAAGGTCCCCATCCTTTTCAAACCAACGGAAGTATCATAGAGCGAGTCGTCCATGTCGGTATCAGAGCTGGAATCCGAATCCGAGAAGTCGAAGTATAAGGTGGATGACTGTGAGGTCGTAGTAGAGTTTCTGTCCGAGGGCTGAATTTCAGGACGCTGATGCCAGGAACGGCTTGCTTTCTCTAGCGGGTAAGGCGCTTCAACGGCAGCATCGAAGAACCGAGCTTCAAACTGCGTTTGGTGAAACCAACTCCGTTCTTCTTTGGAGAAGAGTTTCTGCTGGATCTTAGGTGGTAATGAATAGAAGCATCGCGAGTCTACTTGGACGGAAAGATGGGCCAACTGGAACGAGTCGGCTTTGCGGAGCTTCTTAGTCGTGTTTAGAAAGGAAGACTTGTGCGGGTGGCACCTCTTATTCCTATTGATGGATTTTATGGCGGATGTTGGATAGGAGCGACTCTGAAGGGTACAAAAGGGGAAACGGCGAGGCACTCTAGCCAAGCGGCGCTGATAGTGATTACCATCCCAGCGATCATCTTGAGCTAGACGAAGGCGTTCGACATTGGAGAAGAACTATGGTAGGGGATAAAGAGATTCTGTTAGCTACCAAGATCTGAGTGGAGCTTGTAGGAACCAATTCTCTGTTAAATAGCAAGCGACCATGGCTCACGCGGCTTTACTCCGAGGGCCTAGTCCACGCCATAGATGATAGTTTGGCATTTCAACTCCAGTAGTGCGAGCGCTAGTGAAATTCATCCGCAAATCATCTATGGCAATTTGGATCCGAACACAGGCCAAGCTATTGCTCCTAGAGTGCCGCTAGAATGATGACTAGAGGGTCCCGCAATGTTCACCGTTCGAATCCGAAGGAAAGGGGATGAGAGAAAGACGACGTGACAGAAGGAGAGGATAGACAATGCCCAAATATTGCAGTATGGGTGGGATATAACAAGAACAATAACTTTGTCCTTCACACACCTTTCGTTGCAAAGCTGGAGGCAGAGATTCAAAGGCTAATTCCTCGTGTGCCTCCCCTTTCATTTTTCCCCTCCTCTTCTCTGTCCGCTTCCTTCCAATGCAATTTCAAGTCGTAGGAAGATAAGCAGAAAGGCCAGGCGTACAAGGGAGGGGTGCAGAGTATCAGGATGAGTACGTAGCTACTAATATAGATGAGTCTGCTTCACTGTAGTAACCGTGCCCAATTTTCTGAAAAGCTCAAGTATGCATGGCATTGTGGGAGTTTGCATTCCTTTTAAAGGGAAAAACCAATTATGTCCCGGTGATGTTATAGAGCATCCATTGAGGGGGGCCTCGTTTCCCAATTGCAGATAAAGTGTCTACTATACGGGATCCCTCCTTCATCCCAGCGGCAAAAATTGCACCACCTGCAGACCGTACAGCAGAGATTCTCCACTTTTCCCCCTCACAGTCAGGCTACTTGCTCTGAGTAGTTTGTGAGAGGCACTAGCATGGAGGATTGCAAGCAGAGCTTAACTTTGGTTGGCTTATCCTTTCGCGCGCGCGTGCGTGCCCATCGCACTGACAACGGAACAGCTCATCCTATGAGGATTACCAAGTCAAACCTCTCCCACCTCACCAACGATCCCCATGCTCATTTTTATTTATCATTGGATGGCAGGAGGGAAGGTACCTACTACTAGGACGTGGTACTTGTTTCGAGTATTAGTGTCTTTTCTTGGCGCCGGATTGTTCAGGTTGCATCACATTGCACACATAAATGAGGTACCTCACACACACACACTACACAACGAATCAGAATAATGTGATAACTGTGATACCCAAATATCGCTTCCTTCTTAGCGCCAGTGTGGATACTTGGTGTACATATTACTCCTCCCATTCGTTTGGTATATGCTTTTCTTTTCCCACTTCGACTAAACACACTGTACATCATCTACCATGTGATGGTGTGGGCAAAAGCTGTATGTATATATTGATATATATCTACACATGTTAATCTACGTATCGACTCGGAAAGGAAAGAAAGAGGGGCGGAAGGAGGCAATCCGTAGGGTCTCGGCTAATACATCGATTGAATGAGCTGGGACGGTGGTTGTGCGGTACACAATGGGTGTCACTTAAATCCGATTATCTGTCTCTGCACTTCGTCGTTGGGTTCCCTTGTTATGAGCGTTGTGCACCACAACTGGGGCAAGGGTTTCAGCCGTTGCATGACAGCTCGCATGGAAGCAGAGCCTCCTAGTTTTTACAAAAAAAAAGTATAATGGAACTGGCCGAGCGATACTGCTGTCGAAGTTTAGAGATGGGTTTATAACCCTTAGAAAAAGTATTCCAACCGGAGAAGAGCTGACCCCCGAAACAAGAAGTCATGTCAGGTACATGCCATACGATGTCCCGAGAATAATGAGGCGCCCCATAAACAAGCTAATCTCAAAGGACACTGAGAACATTCTGCATCGCAGCTGTGTTGGAATCCTCTCTTCGAGAGACATAAGCCCGGACTTCTTGCACGCTGAGGCCAGCTTCCACTTGTCCAGTTCCCCCGGCGCCTCGCCCAGGACTTGTCCCACTATTGTTCCCAGGCCTGCTGCTGCTACTTGCTGCGCCACTCCAGACCTTTTCTCGTAAAGCTTCAGATCCTACAACAAAAAGGCTACCAACCTCCAGCAAGACGTCCAGCGCACCGCTAGGGCCCTTGACCTGCTCATCTATGTCCCAAGACTTGAGGAGATCTGTGTACTGTGTCATATCCTTAGTGACCATGAGGCCGCCAGGTCCATTGACCGCGAATCGCTTAAAATGCTCTAAAAGTAAACTGCGGGTTCCCATGGCTATCTCTGTTAGCAACTGTCGGATATTCGAGCCACTAGGCGGCAGCGATGTTGTGGTCATATTATGCACACGAGAGAGAAAAGTGCAAATAGACGCACAGGTCTAAAGATTTATCCGTTAGCGCGGCATATTCTAGTTATCAGGCAATAATCCAACTGACTGGTGTCTGTAGCTTCTCCAACCAAGCTGCATTGTCTCCTTCCTTGGGCCGAAAGTCATTCTTCCTTTGGCTAGCAAGAAGTTTATTAACCCAAGTCAAAGAAGCATCAATGATTTTCTGCTCAATTGTATTGACTTTCTCCTCGATTCGCATAGTTGTCAAGTTTGTCTTCTTTTCCATTTCTCGGCGAACAGTGATGCTCCCGGTTGCTAGGGGAATGAGTAATGTGTTTATGCACATTACCATCAAGTTTGCGATGCCGATTGCGTTCCGGACCGCCGGGAGGTAAGCAAAATCAGGCTCCATTTTTCCTGATTCTTGTGATGTCGCCGTCTCCAATGCGGCATCAAGACAAACCTCAATGTACCCTTCTCCCATCATAGAAAGGAGAAGAGCCAACAGAGCCAACATGTCCTTGGGGGTTTCGCTGCTTACACTGAGCTCCAAGCCCCGGCTAACTCCCTCAGCAAGCCACTTGAGCATTCGTTTGGCATGAGATATGCTAGGAATACCATCCTCTTCAGTGAGTTTGATATCAGTTCGTCTTAAGAGGTCATTGGCATCCCTCAAGCCCGCCACCTGAAGTAACATCCTTCGCTGTGTCGGTGAGTAATCTGAGGACTCAAGGCGATTGATGTACGCGTCCCGTGCAGAGGATAGAAGTTCAGTACCCGACTTCGAAAGAGATGCCATGAAGGTGGTTGCTGCCTTCTTTCTACGTGCATGGAAGGTGGTGAATTTGAAAAGCAAAGATGTATACAGCTCTTCCAATGTTTTCTTCTCCCTCTCGATATAAGAGGAACCAACAAAGTATGGCACAAATAAATCTTCCAGTTGTTGATCGAGAACCAATGCCGTCTGAGCGGAAATGGTATCGGGGTGTTCAGTCAAACCATGGGCCTTTAAATCATCGACTAGAGCGCTGATGTAACTGCGAGAGCTCTGTAGGGAGCGTAAGAAGGCGAGCGATGAGATACTATTAGCCTTCTCAAGAACCATTTCAAGTCTCTGTTGAATTGATTGCTGGAACACGCGCTGCAAGAACTTCCCGAGGACCTGTTCGTAGTAGGGGAATGCTCGCTTTATAATAGCTGATTCCTCCTGAACTACGACCTTAACCTCGTCAATGAGTGACTGAAGACTAGGTTCCACCTTCAGAGGCTCCGAATCTGGGTCTGCAAGTTGTTCCCAAGCTTCTGGATCCCCCCTACTTCTTCTGTGACCAACTGACTTCGATCGATAAAGAACTGGTGCTGGTTGACAAATAGAGCGATAACACTAGAGCCCCCATTGAAATCCTGTAGCACAGTTGCACAATCTTTCATACCTTCAAAGTTGGCCTTACGATAGAAGTCGTCGAACTGTTTCAGGAGATCCTTCTCTAACGTCTCCGAGAACTTCTCAATGATCTCCCTTGTATTCAGCCTGGTCAACACTGTCTCTTCAACCCTACCCTCGTCTGCAGACCCATCCCCAGACGGGCCATTGCTCTTTCCTCCCGAGTCGTTCCAGCTTTTCGGGTCAAGCCTTTGGCTAATCCTCAGTAACTGCCGCGCTATCTGTGCGGAGCGTACTTTAGCTTCACCAGTACCGGACCTCCTCAAGTTCTCCAAAAGCGTAAGTTCTCCCCTGTTACTTACGCTATCCCAACACTCAAGAAGGAAGTGGGCATCAAGTGCTCGGCGTCTCTGTCGGTCAAGTTCTTCCAGCTTCCGGCCTGTTTCAACAGCCATATTACCAGTAGACCCGGAGAGTTCGCTCCCGGAAAGCCCAGCTCCAGCTCCAGCACCTGTCCCATTGAGCGACGTATCAAGTTGTTGGAAAGATTCAATGGTCTGTTTCAGCTTCCTGCCAAGTGTACTGATATTCTGTGAGTGCTGGGCCTCAGCTCGGCGGACAGCAGCTGAAAGCTCGTTCTCCTTGATCTCTAAGTCACCAGAAAGTTCACCAAGTCTCCTCTGTGCATGTTCAAGGGTCCGAATGAGTGGTTTGGGATCGAACAGTTGGTTCCCGGTGGTGGGGCCTAGCGTAGAGCGACGGTTTAAAATGGCACTGTCGGAAAGTGCTTCGATGAATTCTTTGACTATAAAATCACGGCTCGAAAAGTCCTCAAGAGTGAAACTGGGGCCTTGAGGGAAGACAGATCGCGACGTGGGAGTTGAGGTGATGGACGCACTGTCTGGCATCTTTCCAACTAACGGCAAGACTTCGTCGGCATCGGGTCATTAAACAGCGTAGTACTGTTATACGATGCAGTCTAAGATATGTGCTTGCATCTAGAGCCGATAACTGCTGGGGGGTGTGGAAAATGGAGCTCTTGTCTTAGTTTCACTTCTAGGGAATGCAGGATAATCACCTAGTAATAGCGTACTAGTATTAATAGCATGGAGTCTAGAGAGTAAAGTGCCGACTAGTTCGATTGCGTAATTGTGTTTTGTTCCGCCGTAAGTTATACCATAGTAACAGGAAAGGGCTGCTTCTGACAGGTAAATGGGTCTGTCTCTCTAAACGTACTCACTGAGATGCAGTCAGACTGTCTTGCAGAACAGGTATGACCGGTAACTCTCAAGAGGCTTGCAGACCCCATACTGTTAGTAGGCTATAACTAAGGCCACTTCGCCACTAGTACATGTGCCTAGTATGTACTGTATGTACTGTACTGTATGTACACACTATTTGTTGGTGCAGAACTGCGTACATGTATGTACATACAGTACATGCAGTCACATAACGTTCTACTAGGTACGTATTTACATTACCTACATTCAGTATGGTCCATATTAGAGGTCCCCAAGGAAAATAAAGGAGACAGATGGCTTTAATACAAAAACATATGCTGTGATCATTAGATTGTCAGGACATATGTACATACATACTCCGTACATACCTCAAGTAGATTCTGGATAGGAGTGGGGATATGGGCCAAATACACTTGTTTACTGATCTGTCCATCTAGTAAATAGGGCTCTATGGTTGCCTGGGCCTGTAATGTTAGTGTAAACGTAGTCATCCACAAGGCCTTTGACGATGCTTTGCGCAAAGAGATACTTAGAAAGAGTACCTTCCTACCTGCTCACACTGACCACTTCAGACTTTCGGCACGTTAATTGATCCAACAAACACCTGTCAATCTCATCTCAACTTCTTTTCGAGCATTCGCACTCAAAACCATGGTATCACAAAGGGATAAAGAGCTGTTCAGAAATGACGTTCGTGCCCGGGGAACAAAACTTAGTGCTGCTGATCGTGAGAGCCTTTTGAAACCATACCTACCAGACCCCTCGGAGCTACCACATCGGCCACTGCAGCGGCGCAGGAAAACTTCGCCCAGAAAGACCCCTATCCGGACTTTCGTGAAGTCACAACTGCACCAGCTGACCTATACTCTCATTCACATTTTCTTTGGTATCGTCGTTCGCCTCGCCCAGAGCTACCATGCCGTCGTGGATAGGGTGTTTGCCATCGTCTATTATCATCACCGAACCCCCGAATTGATCAGGAAGGATGTCAAGAATTTGGATCGTTTGCCGGAGCACTTGAGTGTTATATTATCATTGCGGCAGGAGGAGGATTCTCTAACGGTTTTAATGGATGAGGTGGCAGAACTTGCTGCGTGGAGTGTCAGTGCCGGGATCCCTGTGTTAAGCATTTATGAGAAGAGTGGTGCGTCTGTCCTCTACAAATCGAAACAGTGCGAAAAAGCTTTCCTAACGATTTATATTGCCTAGGGGTCCTTAAATCATGCATTCCCACCCTGCACCGCATCGTTACAAGCAAGCTATCTGCGTATTATGGCTCTCCTTCCCAGCAACCAACGTTGCGACTTTTTGCCCCTCATCACTCTGTTTATCAACCACAGGACAGCAGCTCAACTGAGAAAGCCAACACTGATTCTCTGACTGTGCTTCTATTGTCGGCTACCGATGGCCGGGAAACATTTGTGGACTTAACAAAGACGCTCGCGGAGATGTCCCAGAATGGAAAAATATCACCAGAAGATATCACAATGGAACTGGTCGATGCAGAGATTAGCGAGATCACGACACAGCCATCTCAGACAGCTTTACCGACCTCCATCGGGAACAAAGCAACATCTATTCCGGACGTTTCAGTAAAACCAGAGCCTGACTTACTATTAGTATTCAGGCCCTTCTTGAAATTAGATGGTTATCCACCCTGGCATATTCGACTTACGGAGATGTATTGTACGGGTGATAAGAGCAGCAGCATGACAGGATATGGGGAGGCTGTTGAATATCAGGGTTTTCTTAGGGGTCTATGGCATTATGCAGGGGCTCAAATGCGATTCGGTCGTTGAGCCTTTTTCTCCCTCCTGACTGTCTTTCTATTCCCATACTCACATCCTTCCAGCCGTTGAAAGGACCTAAATCGAGACTTGATATTAAGCGTCATATTGTTTCTTGATGAATGACTTTGAGATGGTGGTCCCCGAATTATGAACTACGCCTCTAATTCCCACAGGCAATATACATTTTGGTGTAAGATTATATGCATATCACAGATTGACTAGATCCCCGTTAATAGGTAACGTGTTCTTCGGTGTTTATATAATTTGGTTCTAGTTAAAACGTTTGAGCGACTATGCCGTTGGGTAGGTTATTTTTTCCCATGTAATGCGTCCCTTACTCGGCTTACGTACATAACGTACTTGTGCCTCTACATATTGTTCCCAGCATTTAGATGAGATTCGCAAGCCCAGGCAGCGTTGTTTTGCCTTAGAAGTCAAGATTTTCTATTGGCTTATTCCGTAATGGTTTACAATGCTAGCTTTGGCCTTGTTTGCTGACTTACTCTATGCAATGTTTTGGTAGATACGCCTTCAAATGAGACATTCGTGGCTCTGTAATTCGTATGCTGTAGAATGTTCTAGTAATGTGGGCATTTTACATGTATGTACGGCATATTTAGGACAATCCACATATATCTCTATTAACTCTTATAATAGCCGCCGTAGGGGGCCTTCCGAACTGGTTGCTCCAAGTGGAGTACCTCGGAATATTGGTGCTGTGAATAACAAACGGGTGCCTTAATCAATTGCTTAGTACGAGCAAGATACCGAGTTCTGCCTGCCATGTCAATTTGTCTCGCTCTCAGGCTGATTAGATCATCCGCTTATAAGCTGAGAGTCACGGGTCAACTTTGAGGTCTTGATAGAGTGAACCCTGGGCTCACGACTATTATCTCCCAAATGTAACCTGATGGTCGCGTGCTGCTTGTTTCTGCTGGGTTATATGATGGACTTGCCAGTGTGATAAATGATCACGTACACAGTCCAAACATCGAACCACTTCTATCCCTGTTTCTGTTACTCCTTCCACCGCACAGCACGAGCATATCTTCCTCGGCTGTCCGAAATGTGACTTATTCTTGCTTGTGTCGTCTTGTAACCGGCTCGAAGCATCTTTGAACAGTTGGCTCTCCGCGAGAAGATATATGGAGCTACTGCAATGAATAGCATCGCACTGGCGGAGACAAATATAGCAGCTACGCTCGCCGCACAAATCACAGTCGACATATGCATCAAGTACTTCCTTGGTAGTTGGCCTTCTGTGGCATATGTGGCACGGTCGTAAACATGAAGCAGAGGCGCAAGTATTATGCTGCGAATGAGGACTCGGAACAAGGGTTCTAGGAGATACAGGAGGGGACGGTACATTGGAGGTTCCGGAGGTACGAATATTTGGTGATATTATCTTCACCTGCGCTATGCTCGACTCTGGCGGCTGCGTGAGGCTATTCGACCAGGCCTCTGTACTTTGTGGGTGGATATATGACTGTTGAAGAACTCGTCGTTTTCGAGGGATGCATCGCTTGGGAGCGGAGAATTCTCCGTTATCACCGACCAGCTCTGGACAGTCTAAACAAAACGGGGCGTTTGTTGTACGAGGTGTTGTCGGAATAAATTTGGTGCTGTAAGACATATCCTTCGGATTAGTTAATTTCCCAGTCTATCAGCTCAAATCAAACCCTCATTGTTGTATTCGTTCCCTTTTTTATTTGTTTAGCCGTGCCCCGGGTGCAATTGTCTTACTTACGTATTAGGTACAATAACAGCGTCGGACAGGGCCAAGTCCCTTTTTCGCTTCTTCAGTTGTGAATTTAGAATAGGCATGTTGTCCTGCTCAGGCATGATACCTGGCATGGTGGAATGAGGAGCTGTTGTCGGGAAGTACATGGATAAGTTCATCGGTGAAAATGTCTAGGTAAAAGGCTAGGTTTGCGCGTCTTGTCGCTTCCCCAGGTGTATTGGGCAAAGAGAGAAAAATCGGATAAATGGAATGGAATAAATTCGTTGCCTTTTTTCGGTCGACGTATGCGGAGCGCTAACCAGCCATAAGTGATGTAGAACTAGGAGAGGTGAAGATAATATATAATGTTAACATGCTTCCGAGGCTTAAGCTTGGCGTTAGGTATAAGTAAAGATCCACTGTTTTTCAGCTCTAGTTCGGTAATGGTGTATAGTACTACTCCGTATGTGCCTTGGTTATAAGGTAGGGTAGCAGTTTATTACACAGATATCTCTAGCCGCACTACGAGTTCTACATAGTACTATGTACATACTCTGGAGTACATTGTATGTACCCATGGATACCCACTTCTACACAGTACAGAGTAGTAGTAGATACGTAAGCTACCTGCGTACAGCACATAGTACGGGAGGTACAAAGTTTTGGTACAGAGAATACTTACACGAAGTCCAGTAGATATAGACTCACTGCATGCCTTTTTTATAGTGCAAGGGTAAAGTTCCAATCGAATTACTTGGCAGCAATGGATCATTCAGTGACTTATTATGTACCTACTCTCACACCGTTAGCCTCCATACGGAGTATTTAGTTCCATACTAAAGTACTCCATTGCTTCATACTCTGTACAGTCTTAAAACTCAGAATACCCACCACACCCATTTAAGTACACCCATGTGGGTCCTACTAGTATGTTCTGGATGAAGTACCTCTCAAGTTAGTCTAGTTACTACTCCCTACCAGTTATCTTACCTTGTGCTTGGCTTCTTCAACGAATCCCTGAGTTGAGAGCCGCCCCTGTTATCCATCAGCCCTTTCTTGAATTCCACCCCTAGGAGTGTTCATATGGTCAACATTGCCGAGCGCATGACTATTTGTCGTCTTCCGCAATCAACGTCATTTGCCATTCCAAGAGATAACCCCCGTAACGCAGAAGTGGCTTTCTGACTTGCCTTACCTTGTCTCTACAATCTAAGCGACACTGTTGGGATCATCGACTTAGGAGAGCTGTGGCATCTTCGCGATGGAGAACGATATTTCTGAGCTAGTTGAGAGGTTAGGGAGCGACGAAGATGCGGTACGAAAAATGGCAGTCTTCAAACTTCAAAGTAGCATTGGTGACCCATCGTTTGCCGATATCTTTATTGCAGAAGGCGGCCTAACTCGACTGCGCTATTTGAGCTTACATGCCAGTGGAAACACACTGGCCTATAGCCTTACAAGCCTTGCCAGACTATTAGAGGTGGACAAAGGATGGGAGTTCGTCGATCAGGAAGTGGTTGAAAGAGTATGTCGTGGGATTGGCGCGCATTAATCAATGCTCTGTATCAGTCAGTATCCATGCTGATAAATGACCCTGCCCCTTTTAGATTGTCGAACTTATAGTAACGCATCCTTTGGTCAACATTTTACGTGGTGCAATGTCTATCCTGGTTTCCATTGTATCGCACCCTCATACAGGTGGTCGCTTGTCGCAGAATGGGACTTTTGGTTTTCGTGCTTTGAAACCCGCGATCGCTATCTATCCGCAGTTTTTGGAAATGCTTGTTAGCAGGCTCTCATCGGCTGATCATGCGCTTTGCGCCAATGCGCTTCAACTTATAAATTCTCTTATGCGCGACTCAATCACGAACGATTCTGAATTAGAATGGCCCAAGTTCATCCAAAAACTACAGGATCTGGGTGTGATTCGAGCAGTTTATGCCCTGATGCAAAGTAGCGCATTACAGGATCATGCGCATCCTTTGATTGAATTCCAATCCTTAACCAAGGTTCTTCTAAGGAAATGGAGAGACATCGCACTAGATTTGGAAAAGCCAGAACATAGACGAGCACTTAAAGGTATACACTTGGCCAGTAACAGTGAACGGGAACTAGAGAAGGGGGGCGAGAGTGGCAATGAGGCGCGACGTTCAAAAAGGCACAATCCAGAAAAATGGCGCCGACTGGGGTTCGAGTCGGAGAGCCCTATCGTGCAATTTGAAGCCATGGGTTTCCTGGGAATGATGGATCTGGCAGATTATATCAGAAACTACCAAGATGAATTCCAGAAATTGCTTTTAGAGCAGTCAACGAAGCCGGCGCAAAAGCGGTGTCCCATAGCGCGTGCTTCTTTGTCTGTCACACAGATCCTCTACGAGCATTTTGAAGTTGATAAGTCGGAGATGGAGGATGCGAAAAGCTACCTGATATTAGAGTCTCGCGCTAACCTTGACAAAATATTTAAACCCTTGCTGTTACATTGGACCCGCCTACATGTCGCAGGTCTACATGCCTTTTTCCGACTATGGAAGGTCACTGGCGCGGAAGTGGAAGATTACGAGAAAATCGTGGAACTTGTCCGTATCCTTGTCGAATCAGTTGTTGGGGGAGCACCACGAACAAGAGATGTACAAGATGTGGAGGACGACCTGGCAGAATTCGAATATTCTCGGCTTCGCGAACTACAGATGGAACTCCTGGAGCTTACATACGAGGATGTTTGGGGGCAGCATTTGCGACAAGTACGCGAAGAGCTACACCATGAAGCCTTGCAGTTTGTCAAGGAACAGAGAATTAGATGTCTGCTACAAGGTGCTTGGTTTCCTAATGACGGCAGTCCCACGGCCGACATGGTGGCTTCGGGGGATCCCAGCTGGAAATTTGTCCAGCTCTCACATAACCGAAGGATTTTACATTTTGGACATTTCGACAGCGTAAAAACAAAGTGCCCAGAGCTTGATGCACTTCCAGAGAAGCGTAAGAATGCTTCCTTTTCATCAGTTCCCCAACGTCATTACTGTGCTAATCATCTGTCCCTCTACCAGTCGATCTCTCAATTGTATCTTCGGTAGTTTCGAATGTTTCAGCAACCTCCGATGACTCCTCGTCGTCGACGGTCAAGAGCGTGTCGCATCATGTCTCTGCTACTAAGATCACTATCCATGGCCATCCTCAGTCTGGCTCGTCCACAGATGACTCAAGAAAGACCGAAGGTCATGCACGCTCTACCAGTAAAGCAACTCACAGGGAAGCAGTTCTATTGACTCTGCGGCCACAATCACCAAGCATCGCATCTGAGTGGCTTGACGGGTTACTTATGCTTCTAAACCAACAGCCTATCACAGCAGAGACAAGCAAATTGGTAAATTTGGTCAGCGACTATGGACTTAAGATCCGTTTATTGAATGTTAGGTTCGATGATGGAGTATTCGCGGGTGAACCTCCAAATATTCCCTCACGGGAAGACCTAGATAATGATTATTATTATGATGTTTTTGGGGGGGCTTAGGGTGCTTGTCATGTTTTCTTGTCATTTATTACCAATGAAACTATAGTAGCGAGTCACGTCAAAAACAGTTGAACACTTGTCCATGTGTTGTCATCAACTAGCTACTTAGCCTGACTTTGATATTGATTCAATATATATGTACATGCACTTCTTGGCCTAATTGAGACGAGGTACGGTACCGTACATAACCTACCTTATAATACCGTTCGCTGAAACATAAGGAACAAGAACATCCTTTCTTCAATATTTCAGCCCATCGATAACATTGAAAGGCTTGCTCTTTGGTTTTATTGAAGGGACAGGCATAACCGACTCGTTTGATGTCTTTCCAAGGAAATTCTCTTACAATGATTTCTGCATATGTCCATATCTCCCAATGATGGCTAATCGCCCCAGCAAACGTCAGCGGAGATTGGCCATCCATCCGTCAGATCAGGACGCTGAGCTTGGCACAGAGAATAACCAGACGAGACCTACTCACACGCCTTCTAGAAGGGCCAAAGCTGATCCTGTAACCCTTTCAACTAAATCTTCACAACTCGAAACGAAACATATCCCGTCGGGCCCAAATCGAGCTTACTCCAGTCTCCGAGTCTACCGCTCCTCTCCGCCCTCCGACAAGGAGACGCGCACGGCATCCTCCCTCCAGAAATTCTTTGAACCTGCAAGTAGCGAACAAAGATGGTCCTCTCGGAGATTCGAGGCGACGTGTCTTCCCACAAAGGAAGCAATAAAAGGGGTGAATGGTAGCGAAGACGACAACAACAACAATGACGATATAATAGATGATGATTATGATTCCTACGATGAGTTATTTACTCAACATCTCGCGAACGAAGAGGTAGCGCGAGATATCAGCAACGACCAAACGCCTTCACGGGTGCAGTCACCCAAAAGAAGCACAAGTGTTGCGCGTAAATCTACGAACACACGCAAACGCTTCGTCCTGCCAATGGTCTCTAATCAAGAAAATAACAGCTCACCATCAATCACCTCTCAGGCCCATAAGCTGCCTTGGGCGCAGCAGTACTCCCCTACAAATCTAGACGAGTTGGCGGTCCACAAGAGAAAGGTGTCAGATGTGCAAAGTTGGCTTCGCAACGCCTTTGCTAGAACTGGAGAACGTGTAAGTTTCTCCTTTCTGTCATTTATGTACTTCCAACCTAAAGTTTTATTTGCGGCGATGTTGGATTTCATGTCTTGACGGTAACAGAAACTACTTGTCCTTCGAGGTCCTGCGGGGAGCGGGAAAACGACCACAATAAACATACTGTCTCGGACGCTAGGGTTTGATATACTCGAGTGGAAGAACCCCCCAGTTTCAGAGTTCGCTACAAAAGCATATGTATCGGTTGCTACTCAATTTGAAGATTTCCTAGGCCGCGGTGATCAGTTTAGAAAGCTTGATTTAGACGGGCCTACTGACCTTCCACAAGACTCTGATCTCTATGCTCAGCAGCGTGTCATTTTGGTTGAAGAGTTTCCAACTCTCTTGCATCGAGGCTCTTCTGGTTTGGCTGCATTCAGGCTATCTTTGCAGCGGTATCTTGCTATGGAAGCTACATTACCCTCTTATGGACTTAATCGGAATGGGATCAATGCCCAGGCCAGCTCTCCTGTTGTGATAATCGTTTCAGAAACTCATCTCACATCAGGTTTCTCGTCAGAAAGTTTAACAGTCCACCGGCTACTCGGACCGGAACTTTTCAACCACCCCGGTACAACCATCGTTGATTTCAATAGTATTGCCCCAAGTTTCATGTACAAAGCCCTGAAATTGATCTTGGAAAAGGAAGCCCGCCATTCCAAGCGCAATAAGGATCCAGGCCCTGCCATATTGCAAAGCATCTCTAGATCAGGGGATATTCGAAGTGCAGTTGCCTCCCTAGAATTTCTGTGTCTTGATGTTGGGCGTTGGGGAACCCCTGCTATAAAGGGAAAGAAGCCATATCGCAACAACGTAATCCTTACACCCACGGAGAAGGAGACACTGAAGCTAGTAACCCAAAGGGAGACTAGCCTAGGAATATTTCACGCTGTCGGGAAGATTGTATACAACAAGCGAGACGATACGGGTGTTGCAACCGAAGGTCCTATACTACCATCGCCTCCAGAGCATATGCGGCACCATGACAGACCGAAAGTCTCACAGGTCCCTGTTAATGAGCTCGTGGAAGAGACAGGGACTGATACACAAACTTTCATCAGTGCCCTGCATGAAAATTACGTGCCATCTTGCGATGGCCCATCGTTTGTGGATTGTGTTGATGCATGTATAGTCGCTTTATCAGACAGTGATATGTTATGTGCCGATCATAAAGGGCTGTATGGGAGTCGTACGAATAGAAGCAGTGCTGGCGTCGATGTAATGCGGCAGGAAGATATAAGTTATCAAGTTGCTGCTCGTGGTTTACTGTTTGCTCTCCCTCACCCTGTGAAAAGACGTATAGCGACATCAACTCGTGCAGATCGATCGAGCGATGCCCATAAAATGCTCTTTCCAAGCACGTTGCGGCTGATGCAGGAAGCAGAGGAGATTGGGGGCCTTACGAATGTTTGGGTGAAAAAGCTGCTGAATTCATTTCGCAGGACATCGTCAGACCTGGATCCTGGCTTATCCGCGTCGTTGACAAGATGCAAGCCAGATTGTGTAGAAGATTACGGCAATGATCAAGCGGGAATCGTGACCATGATACCCCGAGAAGATCTCGTGCTGTACCACCTACCATATCTCACAAAGATCCATCGCGGTGAGGTCGAGATCGCCCAGCTTCGAAGGATTACTGGATTTCATGGAGCCGGGTGCCCAAACAGTTGCCAGGGAAATAACCCTAATGGAAGCAGCCTATGTTTGGCTTCTGCTAGTCACGATATTTCTCAAAGGCTACACTCAACAAATCTCAAAAGCAGCACTTTTGGGTCCCAGCTGCCGGTTAACTTCGAGCAAGAGAAGAAGCTTATCTTGAGCGATGATGATATTGTTGACGATTTGTGACATCTCTCATCACAGGCACCAGCTGATCCTGTGTTCTAGTTTAATCCAGGCATCAAGCCAAACCTTACACTAGTATGTCTCATGGTATTTGGTTGCGGTGAACATTTAAGAAAGATTGCCCGATAAGATAAGATCATACCGGAAGCCACGCGATCGTATCCGTACGGAGTACTTATCTGTAATGATGTTACTGACAAGGGTAAATGCATGACTAATCAGTCTCATATAACGTAACTGGTAAGGTAGTGGGTCACGCAACTTGGTATTGCATACAAAATGGCCTGTTTTAAAAGCTCAATATCTCAACTATAACTATATATATCAATCAATAACTGTATACTATTAAAATTAATATAGTATATTGAGATTACGGGTAGCGGTATGTAATGAGAGGTAGAGACTTGCCGACCTTCTGTAGGTCTGGAGGGGAGTTACATGCTTTATATACATCGGTACTAAGCTTATGTAGGGCTCAGCCTGTAGTGTATCCCTAAGGGGTCTCATGGGATAAGTCGGTCGCGTATCGGTTCCCTTGTATCGCATATTCATGATCACAATATATTATCCGGATAATCAAAATTTTCTGTACTCTCTGAACTTATCTACTTACTATACTAATATATATTAGACTATATGAAATTTGAGATAGATAGAATATATATTTGTTGAGATAATGGTGTTTAAAAATATACATTTTGTATGAGATACTGAGGTGGCCGAGCCGCTTACCGGTTACGTTAACTAGTTAACTTTAGGGACGGTATCTATAACTAGTTAGTCAACACCGAAGGAGCTAACTAACTAGTAGTTGAACAGTGATTCCCATCAGACCAATTGACTCAGTTGGCTGTGATCATCTGTTCCTTCAAACAGTGTTTCATGTGTTCTTTAACTCAACCCCAGAGACTTGTCAACTTTACAATTACGCCAAGCAAAACTCGTCCATCTACTTCTGCAACATAAGGCCTGCCTTTCTATGAGGTTCATATAGTCGTTCCCATCGAGAAAAAATGCTCAAACAAAATGCCGGACCCTTAAAGAATCGAGGCGTGGATCGCTCAGTGGTCACGAACGGTCGTTCGCGACAGACTGATGATCATCTGATTGAGCACGATGGACCCAAGGAGCCATATGCGAGCCTAGGTAGCATAACCACTACTGCGGCTTATACTGCCCTTCCCGGCTGGACAACTATAGCTTTCATGATCTCGCTGATTTTCGGTGGTTGTTGTGCCAATGTAGGTGGGCAGTAAATGATAATCTGCCTCTCTTTCTGACAGTTGGAGTACAGGTCTTTGCCCTGGAAGCCATTATTAAGTAAGTCGCGTCTGCAAATGAAGTACTAGAAGCGATAACTGATGTCGCGACACAGGGAGCAATCGAGCTCAGGTAATTCTCATTCCTCCCTTCGGTTCCAAAAACGGTTGTTTTTCTTTCTCCTCTAATATTCGCATCGCAAGGACCCCTCATAACATTTGCACAATTTATCCTGACTGCATTGTTAACGTCTCCAAGCTTTCTGTCTCTGTCGGCGGGCCCTGAGTCCCTGTTTCTCAGTCGACGTGCAATTCCTCTGAGATCATGGCTGGTATACACAACTTTCTTTGTGGCCGTCAACCTTCTAAACAACTGGGCCTTTGCGTACAAAATCTCTGTCCCACTACACATTATCTTGAGATCCGGGGGGCCCGTGGCGTCCATGCTCGTTGGGTATGCATTCAATGCTAAGAGATACTCACACGGCCAAATCCTCGCGGTAGCTATGCTTACTATAGGTGTCATCGCTGCAGCGTTGGCTGATGCTCGTATGAAAGGTCAATCCACAAGCGTTGGGTATCACCAAAATGATTCCACTATGGCTAGTACAATGATTGGGTTCGGTATCCTTGCCCTAGCAATGGTACTGTCGGCTTTCCAAGGAGTTTACGCGGATCGACTATATGAGTCTTACGGCAGAAACCATTGGAAGGAGGCCCTCTTTTATTCGCACACACTTTCTCTGCCCCTCTTCCTACCAACCTACTCGCACCTTTTGGCCCAATGGCGGGCGTTGTTGTCTTCGCCTTCGTTGCTCTCTATAGTTTCTGCTATCACTGCAAAAAAGGGGTCTGTCTCAAGCTCTCCCCTACTACTCGACACCGACTTAGCTACTACCTCAAGAACGGCGTTTGTGAAACCAGCGCCCATGCCAATCATCAGCACTATCATTCATCTGCTAGCAGAGCTTGAGCGTTTCAAGTCTTCCAAGTTCATTCTAGCTTGTATACCAATACAGGTATTCTATCTTCTAATGAACGCCCTAACACAATATCTGTGTATCCGTGGGGTTCATCTTCTTTCGGCGAAATCATCCTCACTAACCGTAACTATTGTGCTCAACGTTCGAAAACTCATCTCGCTGTTACTATCCATCTACCTGTTCGGAAATGATCTTGGGCCAGGTGTGCTTATGGGCGCCCTTTTCGTGTTCGTGGGGGGTGCCTTATATGGTTTCGAGGGTGCACGGTTGAGGAAGGCACCTAAACTATCTAACAAGAAAGACTGACATAGTTGCGTGGCTTCGACATGTCAGAGCTAAACTTTGCACGTTTTCCTTCGAGAACATTATAGACCTCTGTGTCCGTGGCTGCGATTCGCCGTTAGGCCTTTTGCATACAGCTAATTCCATACATGCTTCGCGGATGTCACTTAAGACGAGACCCCGAATGTACAGCATTCGCCATATACAGAAGAGCAAATAAAAGTCCGTTGACATTGATGTCCGAAGATTTGAGTCCAGTTCGACTTGACTTTGATACAAGTTCAATCAATATTCTAATAAAATTTCTAGCAGAAATACAAGATGTACAGTTGCAGCTAGCGCTACAGAAGGGCTTCGACGTATTGTGCTCTAATGTACAAAAATCACCGATGGATTAATAGTCACCCACCAAATGTGAATTTTGAACAGACTACAGGACCTCGCCCACGATTTTTGCGGCCTCCTTGTAGGTTTCTAGAAGTCTTTCACACTTCTCCCTCTCCGCCTTGATCCCGTCATCCTCGTAAAGAAGTTCTCCGAAGAGATCTTCCTTGTAAAGTTCGCTGACAAGCCTATTTTGCACAACATCTTTACTATGATTGACAAGAAGGTGCATAATGGCCTTGGGAACCTGGTCAGCAATAGTTTCCCTAACAATATCGAAGTAGGAAGATATCAAGCGGCGAATCAACTCCGTCTCTAACAGCTCACGATCAGAAAGAGTTGGTTCAGTATTTTCCTGTGCATTGTGTGAGCTACTAGCATAACAAAAACAAAGCTCGAACGAATCACGACTTACAAGAGAGTTAACCTCGCCAATATACTCCGGAACAGGTACATAGTCATCAGGCGGCATCACTGGAGAGCGCACCTCCGTCCTCCGTATACTTTGACTGGTGCTGATATCGTTGGCGTGGTTGGAAGGTCTGTTTTGGCTCGAAGGTTGAGGAGGAAGTGAGGGAGATGGCTGGGCGCCATCTTTGCCAAAGAAATAATTCAAAAATGAATCGCGTGTGGTGTTTGTGGCACCAAACATGGCATGTGGACTTTGATTTGCACCATTCAAAGTTGCCGCAATACCGCTTTCTTGGGGCTTGCCAATATGCGGGGACATGGTTCTTGTGCCTTTTGCAGACTGACTCCTGATAGGGATGGTCTGAGCCTTTTGCTCTAGTGCTTGCTCCTCCTCATCCTCAGGAGAGAGACTTGTGCTTCCATTGATGCCTCCGAGTTCCCTCTGTCGTCGCTTCTCACGCTTCCTTCTATCCTCTGCTAATGCCGACTTCCGTTCTTGCTCCTGTTTATTCTGAATGACGGAAGACATCGCGGCTGCCGCACCGAGAAAATTCGGATGATTTGTGTTTATATAGGCTCTTTGTATGGAAATCAGTGACTCCACATATGCTGAACAGGGCCCCAAGCGCTCACGAAGGAGGTCAGATACTACCTCGATAAGCTTTGCTTGTAGGCGTGGAAAGCGTAGGAGTTCTTGTGATCCACAAGTATGGCAGATTTTTATAAGTTCTTCGTACACGAGCTCTACACACCTCTGACTAGGAGCTTCCAACATTTTAATCTGAGGTTTCACGAGCAAATCGAACGCAAGTTCAGGGACAAAGAGACTTGGACGAGGGCCAGTTGAGTTTCGAATTGCTGTCCTGATATCTGAAACTGTCAGGTTGTGCGTAGGGTCAATTGTTTCAAGAGAATTGCCGAAAACGGAGTTGAATATATAGTAGATTCTGGCCCCTCCGCAGAGCTCCTTGGTCGAGATTTCAGATGAAGTTCCGTCAATGGAAGATATAAAAGAGGATGCAAAACGTGTCATTAGTTGCAGGATCAATGAGCACGATGTTCCTTGCCACTGAATTGTTTATTGCCATAGCTAGCAAGCTCCTGTTGTGTTTGCCCCATGAGTGTATTTAAGCGGGCTTTGATATCAGGGAGTCGATCTCTAATGTGAGACATCAAAGTCGTGTTCAGTGTTTTTGCCAAAAACTGTGTTCCACAACGATTCGCCATATTACGGTAGGCAGGGTGATGCCGGAAGAAATCTACTTCTGCCTGTAAAGCATCAGATAAGGATTTCCCTGATTGAATGTCTTGTTGGGATCTGTTGACAACGCCAATGAACCCCAGCTTCAGAGGATAGACGCGCCCAGAAAGAATATCCATAGCATTGGTGCCATGATCCATGAGGTCCAACTTTGTCAAAACGCCGATTGTTCTGCGCCCCATAGGATCTACCTGGCGAGCAAGCTTCAGGGCTTCAGAGTTCACCAAGTCGACATTCGCCGGGGATACCGCCAGGACAAGGCTGTTTGGCTTTGCTATGTATTCCAAAATCAGCGCTCGAGTTTGCTTCTCTATGTCAGATGGTTGGTCGCCAATGGGCACTTTGGTTAACCCTGGTAGGTCAACCATGGTGAGATTAAGAACATGAGGCGAAAATATCTTGAGATTGATGGGTTGCCTATTGATTCCCTTATTGCTTCCGGCTATTCTGGCGGTCTCGGCTTCAATTTCTTGTTTCACAAGAGCGAAGTCCTCGAATTTCCGACCAGGGAGGTGGTGAAATTCCGCCCACTCATGCTGTCCAGCTACACTAGCAGCAGTGTGAGGCACATGAACCTCATCAGTGTCAGGTTTGTCATGGCGTTCGCTGGGTATGTTTATAAGTTGCAGTATTAAGGGGCGTCTCGTAACTATGCCGCTTCCTCTCGGCAAGAAATCTCTACCGACAATGTTCTCAAGCACGGACGACTTCCCAGATGACTGAGAACCTACCACAACCTTTAAAAGAAATTCAGTACTTGCTATCAGTCTAGATTGTAAGCCAAATGGAACTTACTATTTGCGGCAAGTCAAGAGAATCATTCCCAATCGTATTGAAAACAAGGTCTTGCAACTTGTTGACGGTTACAAGCAAGTCTTCGCTAAGGGACGCCATCTCTGTTTCTTCTTTCCCCTTCTGGTTGCCTTCTGTCCTTCTGTTTCTCTTGGCTTCTTCAATTTCTCCCCTCCTGTTATTCTTCAGAGGAGTTTAATTGAGTATACCTTTCTGTTGTCTGATAGTGACAAGTTGTCTCACGAAAGTTGACAGAGAGATTGTACGCCAAGTACACCTTCAGAAATGCCAATTAGCACTAACAAAGGGAAAGCCACAGTTATTTGTCTTGGCCGCAGGAGTTTGCTGCGATTTGCTTGCTCCAGTGTTGTCGTGGGTAGCTGGTTCTAGGATACACCACAAAGTGGAGCTCGCCCTTTCCTTCTTTCCTATGCTTTTGCGGACAAGATATGGACACAAGTTACACTTCCAGTCATGTGACACCCGGTAATTCGGCTTGGCAGTAAACATTGTATGTGTATCACGTGATTTGATACATATTGGTACCTGTATCGTAATATTTTAGCGTCGAGGTGGAAGACAAAGGAATTACAAGTCCTCGACTGATTTACTGAGTTACCCCAGGAACACCTCCTTGGGGGCCTTTACTCCTGTGAAATCACTCATTGGCATTCCTATTCGAGACAGTGACAAACACCCGCACTATACTTATCAACTAGCTTCAGTACTTGTCCCTTCCGTGACTGGGCATACAGCTCCAGAAGACTTAGAAATCAGTGTAAAAGACTTGGATACAAAAAATTGAATTAAATAGACTACTAACTACTAATTTAGAGGATAATGAAGTATATCTTCTATTAATTACTCTTTTTCTATATGCTCTAATAACCTTAAGGGATGCGGCTTGCCATGGTTAAAAAAATGTCAGTGTGGTCAGAAATTGCTTGGCAATTTCTCTACGGAGTGTCATAGGGCGGCTCCCGGGCGCATTCAGGAGCTTAGACCGCTGCACTATCGGCAAAAGACTAGGATACAAAGCTAAAGGTTTTGTACTGCACTCACATATATAGGCTTATTCAGGCAGGTAGGCAAGCACTGTGACAAACCGCCTCTGTATTCCATAGAAAATGGTACTTTTTATAATCTCAATATCTCAATAACTACTAGAAGAGATAGCTATCTGAGATCTGATACTTGGATAACATACTGCTATAGAGATATATTTTAAGTATAGAAAGATATTATACTCTATAGAGTATTGTTATGGAACCTGTGTCACAGACCCTGATCTAGCACAAACAGTGATAAAATAACATACTGGCTATAAAGGACAGGAACAGTGAAGCTGTCAGAAAGCTCGACACAAGAGTACAAAAGATCACATGACAAAAGGACCAACTAGAGGAGGATGGTCTACCAGATCAAGGATATATAACGACACTCATTCCCGCAGTAGTAGCCAGTTCTTCGTGATCAATAAATATTGTTACTACAGAGTTACCTTTGTAATTATCAGTTCAGCTCGTTCAAACTCTTCTAACTATCGGATAGACATACTCCATAGGCCTGGACCTTTGGACTCGAGTCTTGTATCGACGGCAGTCTGGTGTTGACTGCACCCCTGTGACAACGATAATTTAGTGTCGACAAGAATCTTGTGCCGGCTTCAGGTTAGTAACCTTCGACGCGTGGTCCGCTAACTGGTCTCAGACTTGACGACAAAGCCCCGGGCGTAACAGTGACTTTCATTAGTATAGCTGTGAATACCCTAGGTTACTAGATTCTAGCGGAATAGAGATTACCATAGACTGGCAACTACTAGTAGGATGGACAATGCAGCCACCACAGGCAATGGCAGTCTCAATAACAATATATTCTGCTGACCGGTTACCTACTCCATCAACAACTAGTAACCAAGTGATACATAACGATGACAACCGCCTGATAATATATCCTACCAGCAACTGTCTTGTCCAATTGGAAGAGTCCTTTTTTTAACAGTCAAAGCAAGTTTATACAGTATTGAATTGCTTCTCCTGGTGCTGCTATAGGAATTCTAAGACACAATAACTGAAAAGTTTTCATATGCCGTTGAAGGCATATGTCCTATCTGCGAAGGCAGCACAGGGGGAGATAGTTGTTTTTTATCCCTTTCTTTGTCTTGCAGATATGAATGTTGCAAACTATGCTCAGCCAAAAGGCCCAAGGACTCGGGTAAATCAAGCTGTAAGCTTAAAATAGAAAACAGAACGCATTGGACTTCCTCGTCATCGACACCTGACCTTGCGGAAGGCACCACCTTGGGATCACTTTCGGAGTTGTACATAATTTGCTGGGAAGAGGCCTTCTTTATTGCCATATTTACCAAACCACCAGTCATCGTCGGGAAATTCCTACATATGACGAGCAGTCAGCCATATCAATCCTCTGAGCAACCCATTCGTCGATATGAATGCGGGGAAGATAGAAACTGAAAGGGTGTGACAAGGGAAAAACTTACGATGTGAGTGATCTCAGCACCCTCTGGAAAGCTGAGCTCATTGTCTTCCGCGGCTTCATAATCATACAGAGCTGTAGCAGTGGGTCCATTGGCTGAGCTCAAAACTGATGGCGCGGCTGCTTCAACCTGAGGCTCTTGAATCCCGGTGTCCAAATTGTGGTCATGCAAGGCCGGCAAGGTAGAATTCTGGGGCTTGTCTTCCAGTAGCTCAACATAGTTACTCGGGAAGAGACCCCTCTCACCACGAGCATTTGAACCCAGCCACCAGTCCTTGTCAACCATTTCAATCTCCGTCACATATTCACCTTCCGTGAGCTCAATTTCATTGTCTTCCGCTCTTTCATAATCATACTGCACCACGGCTTGAATACCGTTGGTCTGGAAGTTGTTGCCAACTGTAGCCTCTGCCGTTGCCCGGGCTACATCTTGCGTGTCATCCGCAAGGTCTGCATCTTTCGGCACTGTCTGACGAAGACTGTCCGTGGGCAAAACAGAAGGTGGTGATGGCTGTTCATCATGAATATCCGCGGCACCGCGTCCAACAGGCATGGCAACACGGATAGGCGAGGTTTCCCGTACTGGAGGGGTTGGAGGAGTAGGGGACCGAGGCTGCTCAGGAGGGCTGGGAGTCACTTGGCGAACTTGAGGCTCCTGGGTGGTTTCTGGTTGCACAGGTCCCGTTGGTAAGCCGGGAAGAGGCACAGAGCGTCCTATATCCAACTGCTCATCGGGCCTAGCCTCGGGGGCCGAGTCATCAAGTGACTTATCCGCAAATTGATCTCGAAGAGCATTGACACTTTTGGGGGCCTGAGGCTCTGTTTCCGTGTCATCGTTTGCAGCAGGGTCCGTAGCCTGGTGAGACGTATTGCTGGTGAGAGACTTTCCAGTGTGCGTAGTCTGAACAGGGGTCCACGTTCTACCGCTGTATGAGCTCTTCCACTCTCCTCTGCCGCTGTGCTGTGTTTGAAGCGAGGGTTCATCGTACCCTGATGATGGCAGATCAGATGCAGTAGCTTGTCCCCGTTCCCTCGCTTTCCTCTCTGCCCAAAGTTGTGCGGGAGTCTTTCCTCCCTCATCTGCAAAAGTTCTGCTTGCGCTACCGACGGGCACAGCTGCTGGAGTTGGCTTTGACACGGATCCACTAGGTAGAGGAGGTTTGGTTCCAACGAATGACTGGTTCGCTCCGAACTTATTCGCGACCTTTGGCTTCGGTAGACTTGTTAAACGCTCGGACTGTCCTGGAGGTGGGATTGCGTGGTTTCCAGATTCCGCTTGTCCCTGGGAGTGGTTTGGTGCAGCAAATTTGACGTCGTCAGCCATCGACTCGCTGGGTTTTTGCGCCCTGGCCCGAATAGCAGCAATATCGATCTTGCCAACTGGCTCGTATGCCCCCCTCACTGGCTCTGGCCGGTCATCCTTTAATTCGCCTGCCTCACGTGCCTGTCTCCTTATGGCAGCAATATCCACTTTACCCACTGGTTGATAGCCGCCCTTGACAACGTCGCTACGATCTTCGGCGGTATATTGAACCTGCATGTTTGCTACATGTGACTCTTCCGATCTAAGGGCTTGTATATTAACCTTGGTTGGTTGGTAAGCTGGCTGCACCTTTTCAAGTTCTGTCCTAGTGATTGGAGGGGCATCTGGGCCCCAGCCATCATTGTCGGTATATCTCTGGAGAGGTTTTTGAGGAGCAGCTGCCGTGGCATTTGAGCCGATACCACCGGTCCGCGATGGTGTGAAAACTGGCTTGGATGCGATTGGCGGCTTGGGTGCAGCAGCGGCCAGCTGCCCGGCTCCTGCAGAGTACTTAGCACCAGATGCATCCCCCACTTTCTGTATAATTCCTTCTGCAGTCAAGTCCCCATCTGCACGTGCAGTTATTTGAACATGGTAACCCTAGCAGCTGTAAAGTCAGCAGCATAGTCTATGATGGGATAAGTTCTCTAAGAAACATGTGAGACTGAAAGGCCACTGACGTGTAACAATTTTGAGACCGCAGATAGGTGACTAGTGAAATAACCCTTCGTCCGTTCGGGAACGCCCTCCCCGCACCATGCAAGAAGCACGCTCTTAGGAAGTCCAGTATTTGGGTCAGTGACTTTAACAAAGGCGAACTGCATCTTTCCCTCAGAGAATTCATCGATAAGATCAGCCAATTCACCGTCTTAAATATATTCAGTCAGTCCAAGTGTTCCTCATTATAGAGTGTTTGACTGACCTCCGGTACTTTGGACCTTTAGAACACTCTCCTTGTTGCCTGTGTCTTGCTGAAAAGCACTAACAAGTGGTGCTGAAACTGAAAACACTGCCCATTGCCCATAGGTAGGCGAAGAAGAACTGGTGGGTGGGGGTGAGTTGACAACAGCTTGATAGCTCTTTGCTATTGAAGGCCCATTGGATGAAAGGTTCAGGGATGCCATTTTCAGAAATATTCCACAAAGACACGACAGTAGCTAAGAAAGCTTGTTCCGGCGTTCGTAAAACTGTACAAACTGCAGAATGTGGTCAGAAGCTGCATGAATTAGCCCTAGGTTCTTGTCATGAACAGTGTGGGTTAGAGTTACCGTGTC